CCCTAAATCCCTAAATCCTAAATTTAAGGTTCAGGGAAGCAACCCCTACGCCACGCCAAGGCTCGTACCAGCCGCGCTGGAGCTGTTTGAGGCCAACCTTGGCTACTGTTGAATGTCTCGGGTTAAGGGTATATGGGTTTAGGGTTTAGGGTTTGGGTGTGGGGTTTAGTGTTTAGGGTTCAGGGTTTGATGTTTAGGGCTGAAGGTCTCAGGTTTAGGGGTTAGGTTTTGAGGTTTAGGGTTTAAGGTTTAATCTTTAGAGCTCAACATATATTGTGTACTGCCCCCATGCCGGGATCATGTTCATCATCTGCCATTGTGGATGGCGAGAGCTTGGGCGAGCTGAAGTGGCTGTCTAATCTCATGTGAGGCATAGTCTAAACTCGTTAAGGGGGGGTATATAGGGGATTATATAGGGAACTACCATAAGGGATATTAGGGGGAATACAGGATTAAATAGACCTCCTCCTTTTAAGGGCCTAAATATTAGGATCTTTATTCTAATCCCTGTTATGGGGAGGGGTTTATTAGTCGGGGGTCTGGGTTAGTGATCTTGGCAGGAATGACATCCAAGTGCTGAGCAGAGAGTCTCAAACCCTAAGCCCAAGGCTCTAAACCCCGATTTCTAAACCTTCAGCGCTAAATCCTAATCCCTAGACCCCAATACCTAAAGACCTGATCCCTAAAGCCTAGACCTCAATCCCCAAATCCTCATCCCTAACCCTAAGGCTCTAAGGACTCATAATATAAGGCTTTTGGGCTATTTTGAGCCTCAGGGTAAGCCCTTATCCCCAAACGCAAGTCTGCAGGTCCTGTGCCGAGCAGTCTCAGCGCTTCCGGCTGCGATGCCGGGCTTGGCGGCGACGCCGGCCGAGGCAGGGCATAAGGCTTACACTCCCCCAAACTAACATGGAAACCCATATAGTCCTTTTAGAAGGACTGTAGTCTTTATAGGGCCCTTTTTGGGTTTCCATGTTAGTTTCCGGGAGTGTAGGGTTTCGGATGTATAGTGACTCCTGATGGGGATCTAATGGGTTATACAGGCTACTGGCAAAGTAGCGGTCTTCTCTGGAATTATCTTTCATTTTGCTATGGTATGGCCCTGAGGAATTCTTGATTCGTTTATTTTACGGTTAAGGGGACTACAGTATAAGGGTTTACCGTTTAGAGCCCACGTTTTGAGAGTCACTGTCAATATTAGGGGTTATATAGGGATGAATAGGGTTAAATAGAGTCGATATATGGTGCGGCATCTCTGCTGTCAACCGTTACGAGATTTCGTGGAGAAGCGTGACGTTTCCTGTATTCCGCGCAGGCACTTGTTGGCTCTTTTCCGTGGACTGTTCTGAAAAAACCGCGTTAGTCCAAGCCCAGTTCATTGCTGCAGTTCTGTGACCACATGTGCGTCGGTGGCACCAAGCATGAGTACAACGCAAAATGGGGTAACATCAATGGCAGCCGAGGGCGCCTCGATCTCACAATCTTGAAGTGCGGGCGCAAGGTGGTAAAAACTATTGTAAATTCAGTTGACCCTGAGATGAAACATTCAACAGCTGTTCCTGGACACGGAACATACGTTTGCAGTGAGGATGCGGCAGGCTACATCTACAACTTTAAGTTCAGCGTTGACTTCCTCAACGTGAATGGGCACTCTTCACGATCCCACATAGAGTACGCTGGACCTGGCACTCCGGATGCTGTGGGCATCTTTGGCGTTGTGTATGGTACACGCGCTTAGCATCATGATTCAAAATCGCTGATCTCGGAAGGATGGTAGTTCTACTCAGTCTGTGATGGTTGGTCGCTGCTTGACATGCAAACAGCTCCGTTGCAAAAATGATAAATCGCGCAGCCACGGTTGATCCAGGTTGGCATGGGGGCCTTCCGGAATAGGTGGTTAGTAGCGTCGACTGAGGGCTCCTCCAGCAAGACTACTTCGAGATGTTGAGAGTGCACGTTGTATCGGCCAGGTCTATAAAGAAGACATGCTTTAGGCCGCAAATTCTTTAGATACCACTGACTCTGGGCCATTTGAATACCTAGGGTATGGTCCGGGCTCAAACTCAAGAAAGCGGCAGACAGGAGCCCTTAGCCCGAGTTGCGGGGCACAGCCAAAGCGCTGAACTTCGCGCTGTATTGTACCAGGAGGGAGCCCGAGACCCTTCAATTGAAGAATATAGGGGGTTATATAGGGTCTATGTAGGAATAATGGAGCGTTTTGGGTTAAGAGTATCATGTAAGGTATATTCGTTAAACGAGGGGTATTGGCCTCTTTGCTGCAGTGCCAAGTTCACGCGTGCAAAATGTAGGAGAGTGAACAGCGGCAGCTCTGAGCTTGTCAACACGCATGAGGCTGAGGGTTTAAGGTTTCTATCGGGTTTAAGGTGAGATTTCGATAGGGTTCAAGGTGAGATTTCTAGAGGGCTTAGGTAAGGTTTCCATGGGGTCTATAGGGTTTCAGGTTTGTATAGGGTTTGTCGTTTGGACGGCTTCCACTCCGACTTCTGAGCCCATGCAACCCTCAACCTGCTCACTGCCAAACAACCACACAACCCAAAGGAGGGCAATGCTCATTCACAAGCAGAAATTTTGAGGGGATTCATGTTGGCACGGGGAAGAGTGACGCCCAGGCATGGAGGGCTGTCGAAACCATGGTTTCTGTTTTTGGGGTACCCGTATTTTAACTAGGGGCCCCAGAGGTACAATCTACCATGTCATGTTTTGGTCTGCAACCTTGAACCCCCAAACCCTAAACCGTTGACTGCGGCCCTAAAACCGATGAAGCTGCCTTGAACCTGCTAGGCATTCATGTCCGGTTTGCAGCGGCGCTGGCGTCTAGGGGAAGCTGCGCCGGAAGAGGCCTAGGGGGTAAGCGTCGCAGGTTCAAAGCCTAGGATTTGGGGCTTCGTGGTTCTGGGTTTAGGCTTTATGGTTTAAGGCTTTGGGTCTTAGGCGTACAGGTTATGAGGAAACTGTAGAGAGAGTGCGCTTGAATAATCCCTGTAATTGTCTCCTATATAATCTTTATTCTTAAGGTGTGTAATCTACAGCTCATATGTAGCCCGTACTTTTTTGGCAGTAGATAAGTACGAGAGCCTCTTCTGTCCCCCAAACTTGAAATATCAATTAAGCAAATCCTAACAATTCCAAAGCCCATGACCTTAAACTCCTGAGTGCCCCTCCCACCCTCACAGATATTACCTTTCCAGCTTCCCCCTATTTCGCGGAGCAACGATCACTGAAGCATTACGTGGTTTATGTTTACAATCCCAGAATATCTCCCAGGCCATGCCTAACAGCCTAGACCATCTAAAGCCATGGAAACTTGACTGTAAGTGCAATCTATACGCCTCTTGCAATTTTACTGCAAATGAAAACAAGGCCTCAGTGTAGGGGATATTTTCTTGTTTAGCATGTTTAGCGCAGGAGAAACTTCCACCTGAGGGGCACAAGGGCCCGTACGTCCACACCAATATCAAGGACTGGCAGAACCTCCCGGACGGCGAGCCACCAGCTGCAGGTGAGCCAGTGCCGGCCTCTGGAAGTGGGTACAAGAATACAAACCGAAAGAATGACATAAACGAGTTGCAGAGGATGGTCAAGCGAACAGCTGAGCATGACCTAAACCATGAGTTTTTCCGAGGAAAGGAAAAACGTTTCAGCTGTCAATGGCTGTCAAAGACCTGGAGGTTGAGGAGGTGGTGGCGCAGAAAGACAAGAAGATGGCAGAGCTCAGGCTCAAACAATATTAGGAGGTTAGACTATTAGACTATGGCTCATCTCAGCATGTAGACTAGATGTACGTGTGGGGCGTATTTTGCCCTCAGTGAATACTGCTAGAATGCCTTGGGTTTAAATATCCTTGTATACAGAATGAACAGGGTTTTGTCCATCAACAGTACTACCTACTTTGGATAGACAACCCGCATATTTACCTTTTTGCCAAGGTTGACTTGCAAAAGGATTTGGGGTTTGGTAAGTTCAAGACGTTTGACTGTTCAACATATGGTTGGATGTTTAGCAGATACTCGAAGGTTAGGCGATGGACTAAGTGAACTTGGAACTTCCTGCTGTTTGCATGCAAGCGTTCTGTACTCTTTAACTGAATCTTGGCGTATCCGAATACTCAACATCTTATACTGGCCCTTGCCTATACAACTGCTACCCCATTTCCAGGTACCTGAATCTTGGGTGCATGGACGCTGAAGGAACATGCAGGTTGATCTCAAAAGCCTCGCCTGACCAACACCGTCAACCCTGAACCCTAAGCATATCGCATGTAGAAACCGAGATAAATACCAATATCGTTTGAGGTGTATTTGAGGTACCCCATACCATAACTATACAAGGAACCTCGGACCACGGAAGTAATTGCTTCGGCTCCCCCAGTAGCTTTGTTATGACAGCCCTAAACTCTGCACCCGGAAGCTATCCAGTCCGAATTTGTGTCTGGAAATTGCGGTTAGGGTTTCGGGTTGAACCCTGAGAATTTGTGGACATTTGATTGGAAACCCTTAGCCCCTAAACATCTGAGATTTTTGTATGGAAGCCTTGAACTATGGGCATATTTGTGCTTTGTTTGTATGGATCATTACCCGAAGTGACATAATTATTGGTTACTGCCCCCACGCAGTAACAGCCTATAATGAGGGTACTGCGTGGGGCCTTAGCCCTGAACCCTGAACAAACCCTAATCTATCTAAATTCAGTTTCTTGATGTTTTCTATTTAAAGCCCTAAACCCCTAAACTCTAATTTGGGTTTGGGGTTTAGGACGTAGGCAGCAGGCTTCAGGATTCAGCTTTCAGGGTTTCTGGCTAATAGAGCAGTCAAACTCCAAACCCTGCCCTAGTAGCATTTTCTGGCAAGCCTAAACCCTAAACTCCTAAACCCTAAACTCCTAAACCCTACACCCTAAACTCTAAACTCCTAAGCCCTACACCCTAAACGCTAGACTCCCAAACCCTAGACCCAATGGCAGGGCGACTGGGAGTCTTCGGCTGCGCGCGCTGCACAGCTTTTCCGTTTGAAGGCAGGGGACTTGTGCGGGAAATGGCTTCTTACATGAGCTTAGGGTGGTGGTTTAGGGTTTAGGGTTTAGGGTTTAGGGAGGGTATCGGGGATACTAGCAGCTATTTCTGGAGTATAGGGATAAGTACGTAGGGGCTTGGAATCACTTTTTAGGGATGAAGGGTATTCTTTTAGGGGGTATAGTTCGGGTACTGCCCCCCACAAATTAACAGCTGGAGAATATCCATAATATGGTTATATATAGCCCTTCATATGAACCTTATTATAGGCTGTTAATGGGTGAGGGGAGGACCTAAGATATATAGTCCCCCTTAAGTAGATAGAATATGGCTTTGGGTATACAATAATAAGATCCCCATATACCCCATATTCTATCTACTTAAGGGGGACTATAGGGCATATGTAGGGTGAAAAGGATGCTTATTGCTTGGGGGTCTTGGAATTCCAAAATCATTGGTCCGTATCTAGTGGTAACGATGATTTTTTTTCCGGTATACAAGGGGGACCCCACCTTCTTCAAACCCCCGGTGTATCCAGCCTTATATAGATATTTTGTTCCAGAAGTGTGTTACTAAGGCCCTCAGGGCTCCTGTCCCCGACCTATGAACTGGATTTCCGGGTTCTTGGCACACCCCCGGAATCCAAATACACCTCACCTCCCCTACACCCTAAACCCTAAACCCTACTTGCAGGCACCATAGTTATTGCAGTTACACGGAAAGTATGGCCAGATCGCCATCGGATTCGCTTGGAAACCTGCAGGCTGCGTTTCTATCAAACGAACTACCTGTAGATATAGTAAAGGTCTTCGTGTTTCGGGTATATTATATGTACCTAGACCCTCCTCCTGCCCTCTATTCGGGCCGAACTACCCGCTAGTAGGGACCATATATCCCCAATTAAGGGCACAAGGAAGGCCCTGGTATGGATGGTTGTCAAAATCATGGTCCCTCTTTTGGAACCCTAAATACTCCTTGGGACTTAGCTTGGACCTTAGACCCTTGACCCTTTGGGATTCCCTTGTATTCCTATTATAGGTACCGAAAGGTTAACCCTTAGTAGGGGTCCTAAGTGCCACGTAGAACATAATACGGCACGTGATCAACCGGAAGGATGACGCAGAAGGATTTGCAACCTTGAGAGCCCCCTTAGCCATGTAGTCCTCCTAATTAGGATTCAGGGTCTGGGGGTTTGGGGTTTAGGGGTTTAGGATTTAGGGGTTTAGAGTCTAGGGTTTAGGGTATAGTCCCCCTAAAGTAGATAGAATAGGGGGTGTATGGGGATCTTATTATCGTGTACCCAAAGCCTTTTTCTATCTACTTAAGGGGGACTATGAGCCCTAAACCCTAAACCCCCAAGAGTGGGATGAGATTTCCAATCACTTGGTGATGTAGCTGCTGCGGTAGAAGCCCAAGGCAAGCACCTTGAGTCTAGAGTCCCATGTATCTCTGCCTGCTATAGTAGGGGCTCTTTATCCTGGTGGTACTTGTATACCTAGTTCAAGCACATGATGTGAAGCGTGAGGGTCATGTTGCACAGCCTGTAAACCCTAAACCCTAAACTGGTGGACAGCGGCTACACTGGGGAAGCAGTGGCGATGAGGACTTCCTAAACCCAAAAGTAGGTAAAATGATAGCCCAAAACCCCTAAATATAGCCCAGAAGGCCATTATTCTACATACTTTTGGGGTTGAGGTTACTCCTTATTCAAACCTGCGACTTGCAGCAGTTTCGTGCTTGACAGGGTACCTGCCATGCAGCGATTCATTGCGGAAGAAGGGGTGACGTAGAAGCCTACATAAGCTATAGGCTAAACTCCTAAAAAGGGGGTTATATGGGGGGATTATATAGGGGACTGCTATAGGGGATATTAAGGGGGATACTAGCAGCTTAGACAATGGCTCACATAATTAAAGGAAAGTTGGTCCTGGATTCCTCCTCAAGTAATATGATTTGATAACATCTGTTTGGGCCCCAACAGTATGGCATGACTTGCGAAGAACAAGTTTTGTCATGCGGTTTGCCATGCAGGAAGGGGAAAGGGTCTCCCAGCCGCAGTTGTTCTAACTTTGTCATCAAACCCTAAACCCTAAATCCTAAACCCTAAACCCTGAACCACGCGTTTTAGGGTTTAGGGTTTAGGGTTTAGGGTTTTGGACATTCGGAGCCGTGGGAACTCCCCTGCCACCATTCCCAGCTTTCCCTCGAAGATACTAGAAGGGGAATATCTGGGTTGCTGTTAAGGAACTTAAATTAAGTTACCATATTGGGGAAACCCTATTATTTACTATATATACCTACTATGGTAACTTAATTTAAGTTCCTTCACGGCAACCCAAATATTCGTGACTCAAGGGAAGGCATTCTTATCCGGAAAAATGGAATTGGACCTAAACCTGCAACCCTACATCTAAACCCTAGACTCTTGACCCATTCACTTTGAGTGACCCTGGGGCTTGACTTTTTTTCAGGGTACCAAGCAGATAAGATGTTGGGGGGGTATTCTAGGCTAGGGGCTCAAGACGGTTTACGTGGCAAGGGTTTAGGAATACCGTACGTAGCTTGCTGAATAGACTAGGGTTATTCTGATATGTAAAAACCCCAGCTCATCACGGGGGCTTTAAGCAATCAAGATTTGGTAGTTGCCATACATAGGTGGACCCCAACATGGACCCCATAACTATATAAATCTGCTTGTTATGGGGGCCCCCAAAGTAGGCACCCCGATTTTTCAAACCCTAAAATAGACTTTATACCATATAACATGGTAAATTAATATACGTTCCAGAACATTTCTGGGAACCCTCATTTGGTCAGGACACCGTGGCATCGCTCTATGCCTGGGGTTTACTGCCAAGGCCCGTGCACGAGTCAGGATTGCTAGTTCGGGGGACTTAGTGAGTTTGGGGTTTAGGGTTGAGGGTCAGGGGAACTTCGTGAGTAAGTTAATCATGGTGATACTTGGGGGGTCACTAAACGGCTGTTAAATGTTACAAGTATACTCACTAAGTTCCCCTGACCCATCCCAAACCCTGAACCCTAGACCCTAAGCCCTCAAAACGAGGGCTGCATGGAGTTGTACGTTAGCTTTGGGGAGGGTAGTGGGAATTGATGGGCTTATGCTAGGACTACTTAAGTCATAGGAGTGTTAGGGATGGGGTTTGGATGAAAATTGAATACTGTGTGGCACGCTATAGGGAAAGCCCTTAATTAATCCTTAAACCCTTAACCCGAAACCCTACGCAAGCCTGCAAGGATTTAAGGTCCTTGGTTTTGGTGACTTATGTTGCCGCTAAGTCTGCCGGCGGAGGTGACATGTCTTTTCATCCTTATTAGGTTTAGGGTTTAGGGCTTACATGACACATCGAACCATTGTCCTTATGAACGATCATACAACAAGGTCATGCAGGGTTTGTTGTGTCAAGAGTAGCAGCCAAAGCACGAAACACGCCTGCAAGACAATCATGGTGCTTGTGGCTACTCGGGAATGAAGGAAGCGGTTATGAGACTATGATACGAAATTATCTTGTGACTGCTATAGGAATGTCGACGGATTTCATTCCTGTAGTTCTCATTTGTCTTTTCTATTCCTGCGCCTGCGGATGGCCACCAGTAGGTGCTAGGATTTAGCCCTCGCTGCACTATCTTCACTATTGACAATATTGTTGGAAGATGCTTTAGTTTGTTGTTCATTCGGTTCCTGGTGACCTTCAAATAAAGGGTCCCAAGAGGTTAAGCTGCTTGCTACTTTCTCAGGGGATTCTAGGTATCTGGCTTGGGTTTCATGGTGGTTTGAGACTGTCTAAGCTTGGGAATTGTTTGGCTATAGGATGTTGAGGTTTTCAGTTTAGTAGCCTTAAAATAGAGCGCTCCCTTTGGATATAGTACTCCCTAAACCCTAAGGATTAGGGTTTAAGCCCTTTTTTACATGAAGATATAGTTTGACCTGGTTCAGCCTCAGAAACCCTAAACCTTAAACCCTAAACCCAAAAAATACAACGATGGTTGGGCTTCATGCTGTGGAGCTGCGGCAATTCACCTGGAGGTTTAGAGTTTAGGGTTTAAGGGATGATTCTAGCCTACCTAAAGCTATACTTGTAACCGAGTTCTAAGTGCGCTAAGGCCCCTGATATGGTCATAAGTGGGATATCACTACGGTTGCAGTTGGGTCATAATGTGCGCAGCTCTAAACCCAAAGCCCTAAAACCTAAAACCCTAAACCCTAAAACCCTGTACCCTAAACCTTAGAGCCTAAACCCTATACCCAAAACCTGATAGCCTAAACCCTATATCCTAAACCCTAAACCTTGGGTACTGCCCCCCCTCAGTAACAGTTGGATAATATTTACGATATTGTTATTTTTAGCCCTTAATAGGACCCCTAATATAGATTGTTACCGGGGGGGCAGTACTCAACCTAAACCCTAAACCCTAAACTCTAAACCCCAAACCCTAAACCCAAAGCCAGGTCGACCTTGAAAGATATCGTGGAAGCGCTCAAGAAGGAAGTCGAGGAGTGAAAAAGGGCTTATAGAGGTTGGGTATATAGAGCTTCGGGTTTAGGGTTTAGGGTTCACGCTCGAGGGTGTAGGGTTTAGAGTCAAGGTTTAGGGTCCAGGTCTAGGGTTCAAGGTTTAGGGGGATGGGGGTTAGATAGGGTATACATGTACATGTTGCCGACTGCCCGATGGTGCATCTGAGGCGGCCGCACCACACCAGCCTATTTCTTTTTGGGGTTTGGATATCCACTCAGCTAGGTCTATCTTGGTCAACAAACACCTCTTGGAATATTTTCGAAAGCCCTCACATCTACATCCCCACGACCCTAAACCAGAACCCCTACATGAGCCCCAAACCCTAACCCTTCGTCCATGAACCTTACATCCTCACGACCGACATCTTGGCCTGAGAGCCCCCAACCGTGGAGCCACAAGAAGTAATGCCCCAGTGCATTTGTCCTGCACTTGGGGTGTTGGGTTTAGGCGCTTTGGGCTTTGACAGTTTAAAAGGATTTTCCTGTTTAGGGTTCAGGATTGTTTCAATCTAAGACGGCAAGACCTTCGCCCAGGTGTTTCTGCTACATGGGCATCTCTGAGAACAATCCTATATCAGGCTGAATGTGGACCCCTGGAATCCAGGTAATACCCCATGTATCACTGGGTTCCTGAAAGTCTCCTCTTTTGAGGAACATTCCCCAAATCCTAAACCCCTAAACCCCAAAATCCAAACCCCAACTCACCCTAAATCTTAAATCCCACATCCCAAACATTAAGCCGCTAAAACCCTGGACCCTAAACCCTCAACCCTATCACCCTAAACCCTGAACCCTAAACCCTGAACCCCTCAGAGCCGAACTGCGGAGGAGCCCTCAAAGATGGTGATCTTGGATCCCATCGCCGGAACAGGACTACACAGTGCGCTACCCTCAGAAGCTTCAAAAACAGCCTTTTAGAGTCAAGGATTTAGGCGTGAAGGATTTAGGGGCTTTGGGTTGAAGGATCTAGGGTTGAGAGCTTAGGGTTTAAGAGTCCAAGTACGAGTCTAGCAAATACTGTGGACGCAACTGGCTTGTTCCTGCCTACATACGTGGCGGCCTTAGTTCATACTCTCCCCGAATTTCACATGGAAACAGGGCTCTATGTAGCTCCTTTTTATCGAGTGCTGTTAAGGAACTTGAAAAAGTAAAATGGTACCCCTGATGTCGGAAACCCCCAAATGCCACCATAATCCCTAAACCTTAGGCGCTAAAACCTCCAGATAACACCAGAGTCCCTTACCCGTGATTCCCCCACCACCCACATGCATGCCATTAGCCGGAACAGGTCTAGGGCTTAGGGCTCTAGACTCAAGGTTTAGAGTTTAAGGTTTAGGGCTCAGGATTTGAAAACGTATCCTTATTTTCCAGGGTTTCAGACTTGTACCCGTAGGGTTGTACCCCTGACTTTTGGGATCCTTTAAAGGGACCCTCGAGGACTACATTGCCTCAAATAAGGGCTATACTAGGGCCATTCTGGGACAACTCTTTAGGGGTACGACCTTAGAAATACAACCAGGAACCCTTGACACCCTAAATCCTAAGCCTTAAACCTTAAACCCTAAACCTCATTTCTAACCATGGGCTCCTAGCTTTTTTGGGGGGGTCCTAGCCAAGGGCAAACAGGAGTCCCTGAGCATGACCCCCAGCCCATTCATAGTGCTCACTTTCGAGCCCTGGGACCCTAGACCCTAAACTGGCCTCTAAGTCAATCCCAAGTCCAGAATTTTGCATGGGGCTTCAGGCCTCAGGACGCACTACTGGTATGTGTTGTCAATTTCTAACAACGAGTTCCTCCCCTGGTGGCAAGTGTTTGGCGCGAGGTCCGCGGCAAGCTCTTGAAGCACGTTTCCAAGTTGGCCTCATGACGGATTTGGCGCAAGCTTATACGCCTCTGTCCGGTATCGTGGAGAAACGCACTGTAAGAGCCTTGACTGGCTTCAGCAACGGCATGAGACATGAGCTATAGTCCAAACTCCTTAAAGGGGGTTATAAAAGGGATTATATAGGGGACTACTATAGGGGTTATTAAGGGGGATACTAGGAGTTTAGACTATAACCCCTATAATCCCCTACATAACCCTATATAATACCAGTTTGCATTTCATTTTCCATTTTCTTTTCCATTTGATTCTCCATTATTAAGGGGGATACTAGGAGTTTAGACTATAGCTCACACAACAACATTACCACGCAGCAGGATTCCAGCTTCCTGGTCGGAAGCTGCCTCATGAGCCCTGTGCAAGCACCCAGACCTCACAACATACCTAAAGCCCCTAGAGCCCAAAGACTTTAAGCTTCACATCCAGCAAAACCATGGCAGGTAAAAGGATTAGACAACTTCCAAAGTTAAAAATCTGTTTACGATCACCACCCGCTGAACTTTAAACCTCAAACCCTACCTTGAAAAGAGCCCAACGAAAATTAGATGAGGAAGCACTCAAGTTATGACGAGGGTATACCCAATGCCGATACCCATTTTTCTAAATACGACTCGTGTGTCTTAACATGCCCAGCTAGCGCGCAACCCTAAACCAGAAACCTACCATTACTGTTTCGTGACATAATGTAGGAACTGGAAGAATTACTCATATTATGGTTCAAATTCCTTGTGAAGCTAGCGTATAAGGTCCCTCAAATAGACCTCGAGAGCATATTGACAGTTCTTGTCCATTTCCTATCTATATTCTTTTCCATGTTATTGTTTGGGGTAATAGCCCTCAACATTACACCCTATGCGCTAATCCCGAAACTGAAACGAAGCCCAAAACCTAACATCGGCATTCCCTAATCTCCCCACCTGGCACGAAAACATGTAGGTTTAGTGTTTAAGATTTAGGGTTTAGGTGTTTAGGGTTTAGGGTTTAGGACTTCGGGTTTAGGGGTTTAGGGTTTAGGACTTAACTGAGACCTCGAGGTGCTGCTTCGGCAGGCGGGCTTGAAGGCGGGGAGTTCTCCAAATGTTACCTTAAACCCTAGACCCTAAATGCGGGTACCTTTAGGGTTCTTCTCAAACCCCTGGAGTTCTTAGAAAGCAGCTCCCGGTTTGAGGGCTCGATAAGATTTAGGAGTTTAGGATGTATAGGGTTTGGGAGGATCCAGAGAGCGGATCCCATTTAAGGCTTCCTAGAAGAGAAAAGGAAAGACTTTGTGCTAGCTCAATCTGGAACTTCAAACCGTCGCCTCTGCTTTAACGCCTATACCGTGCGTCGGAACAGTATAGTCCCCCTTAAGTAGATGGAATATGGTTTTGGGTACATTTTAAGATCTCCATATACCCCGTATTCTATCTACTCAAGGCGGAGTATACCCTAAACCCTAAATACCCGATATTCTATCTACTTCAGGGGCACTGTAGTTTTCGGTATGTTTGAGGGTTTTGTAGCGCTGCTCTGGGCTATATGGAAGTACCATTTCAGCTCTGCAAGGTATGCAGCTTTCCGGTGGGTTTTGGCAGTTTGCCGGTGGAATTTGGCAGCTGGCAGCCCTGCGCTGGAGGGCTTAGTGTAGACGCAGCTTTTTTTTGTTTGTGCGCGGCAGCGTGCGTCAAACGAACAGGAAAGCACCCTGCTTGAGAAAGGAAAGAGGACTGGTGCCCCTCGAGAACAACTTGCGATGGAACCCTTGAACTCAAACCCCTTACGCCTAATCCCGACACCCTACTAGGCCCTACACTCAAATCAGCCGTGCCTTTTTCCTAAAGCCTAAACTCTAAACCCTAAACCCTAAACGCTAAACCCTTCACATCAGTAGGTCTGGTGCGCAGACTCGGTTGATGGGGGCTCCACACAGACCAGCGGAGCGGACCGACCTTTGGGTACGCCAGCCCTGGGCTTTGGGGGGTTTAGGGTTGTGTTTTGGGTGTAGGGTGTTGGGTTTAGGATTTAGTGAGGGTGTAGGGGCTTTGCATTCAGGGTTTCGTGTTTGAGGTGTGAGGTTTTTGGGGGTGTTGAGGTTTTGGCGTAGCGCATTGGGTTAAGGGCGTAGGTTTAAACCTAAATCAACTTATGACAAAGTCCTTGCGTGAACTCAAGGTTCCAAGACAGAATCAAGATGATCACAATTTCGATGTAGCCTAGTGCATAAAGTCTCTTAGGGGGGATATTCAGCAGGGATTGTTAAATTTCAGTATGAAGGATGAAGTAGTTCACAGAATTGGGGTTTTGGGCTTTGCTTCGTTAACATCAGGATCAAGCGATGCCGTAGCTAGTGTAACTCTGAGTAATTTTCCAACAAACAACCTCATTCACTACAATGAAAAATTTCCCATAGTAGGACTAATGGACGTGGGTTCCTAAGCGGGAATATGTTAGGGACTCTATTAAGGAACCAAAGGGACTTCTACGTCCACGCTTAGTTTTTCCTGTTGCAAGCCTAATATGGACAGTAGCTCATATTACACCACGCTAAAGACTTGGTGAGCAGATACTTGACTATGGCAGAAATCCGACAGCGTTGCAGCAAATTCCTTCTTCTCTGACACTATAATTCCCGTAGGCCAAAAGAATGACATTTTGATAACTCCTCAGGGTTTTCCTATAACAAAACTTAAAGACTCCTGAGAACTATGCCGGCCCTTGGTGAGAGTGCCTCTCAGACAGATCACGCAGGTCCGAGGTCCGTCTTTCGCAACGATTCTGAGGGTACATGCATAGGCAGCTCGTGCTTATAGACTTCTGTAGAACAACATTCCTTCCGCGGCTTACAGTAAGTTTCAGGACCCTACGCCCTAAGCCCGCAAGACTCCCCCACCCTGTTCGAACAAAGGGTTTATCAGGCTTATCTGCCTGCCACACTGCTGGCGCTCCCCTTATGATACGACACCGAAGCTACACAAAAAGTTTGACGACCCTAAACGCACTACATCCCTATATACCCCATACATTCTCGCATCACCCGCTCTTTCCATGTTTCCAGAGGACACAAACTACTTGAACCAGTGCATGAGCACAGGCCGGACATCATGTTTAATCCCCCCCTTCCTACTGTTCACGGTTTAGTTAGGAGTCCCCCCCAAATTTAGAGCCCTATTAAAACCTTATTAGGCCGTATTAAGCTCCATATAGTCCTTATTGGCTCCTTAAACCCCGGGGGTGGGGTAGATTTGGGGGGGTGTATTGCAACTCCTAATTTAGGGTCCAGGGTTTGAGGCTCAGGGTGAAGGGTTTAGGTGGCGGGATGAACGTTCAGGCAGTTTAGGGGCTTGATGGTGAAAATCCCACATCGCTCTTATACCTTACGGCTTCTGGTAGTGCAGTATAGTAAGGTCCTGCAGGATGTTTAGTAGCAACAGTAGTAAGAACCTCCCCCAACTTGTCTAGTCCCATTATGCAAGTAGGGTGGCCTCTTTGCAGAGGTCCCTACTATAGGAATGATTGTGATATTCGGGATCTACTTTGGGGTGCTCCTATTTAGGGAAACTTCCCTATACTGGGGAGAAGATTTTTTTTCAGAAGGGTGGGGGTCTCATTAAGTTGCAGGGTTTCAGGGTATAAAACTTAGCATGTATGGGCCTGTGCGCGCGTGGGCTTGATATTTCATGTGTGGCGCGCCCCAACCCTAAATCCTAAACCCTAAGTTGTAAGTGCATGGGCCTGATTGGCGGATGGGTTTAGGGTTTATAGTCCCCCTCAAGTAGATAGAATATGGCTTTGGGTAGATTTATAATAGAATCCCCATATACCCCAAATTCTGTGACTTAAGGGGGACTATTGGGCTTTTGAGCTTTCATAGTGTTGGGTCAACCTTCAACCCAGGAGGCCTAAACCGTAGATCCAGAGCCCTCAACCTTAAGCCCCAAACCCTACACCCCTAAACCATTAGGGTTTAGGGTTTAGGATTAACCTTAAGCCTTATGCCCCCTAAGAACCCCTCAACCTTACGCCCCAGACACTACACTCCTAAACCTTAAGCCCTACAGCCCCCTAAAGCTTTAACCCCCAACTTTACGCTTGCAGACCTGAGCCTGAAAGCGTACGTAGCCAGGGCTTCGCCCTAGAACCCGTTCGGCTTGCAGATGCTTACGTTTCCTTTGGGTTAGGGACTAGGGTTTACCGTTCATGGATTAGGGTTTAGGTTCTAGGGTGCATGGATTAGGGTTTAGGGTTCAGCCCGAAATAGGGGGTGCCTTTAAAGGGGATTAGGGGTTCTGTAAAGATCTATAGGACTACAGGGTTTAGGATCTAGGGGACCATGGCAGGAAACGAGGTCCTGGTGCTTGAGTTCCCTAAACCCTAAACCCTAAACCCTAACAACCCCTAAACCTTGTAAAAGCCTTTTCAAGAAGCCATCAGCGGCCTGCGCAGCAGGTCCCTCCTCCGCTGCTCCCAGGAGGGTTTAGGGTTTAGGGTTTAGGATTTAGGGTTTAGGGTTTAGGATTTAGGGTTTAGTCATCCTCAAACCCTCCACGGTTCCCGAGCTCTATGCGGGCCACAAAAGACGCTTGAGGAAGAAGACTGACATGCGCAGATTGGCCCTGAAACTGTGAGAGCATGCACTGAGGATTTCCCAAAAGTAGGAGTCCTTTTTGGGTGGTGGCCTATAGTGAGGATTATAGTATGTTAGAATGCATATTGGGGTGTATGTTGGCTGCCATTATTGGAAACTACCATACAAAACACCAGGTCCCAGATTCGCTTCATGTCAGATTCGAAGTTAAGATACAATGGTCAATTTAAAGCGGCCTCACCCGACCCCACCCTACATGGTGGTTTATATAGGGAGTAGTACCAAAATGGCCTTAAATTGGGAATTGAACTTATTCTAAATCACTCTAACAGTCCCATTTCTTGCTTGGTACTAACGGCAAGAGGTAGCTGATGTTATCCCAGTAGAACTCCTGCATCGACTTTTCCTCTATAGGTGAAAGGACATGGCTTTTGCCCGTAGCCTAGAGGGGTAGATACTACATGTAGCAGGGGTATGAGTACACACTCTACGTGCTCACCGTTTCCCTTTTTGAGGTTCCTAGCTGATCTCATGAACCCTGCAAAAGCGGAAGCTGTACATACTCCCTTAACTGCAAACCCAAAGCCCGAAAGTCCAAATCATAGACCCTTAACCCCCAATCCTGATCTGGAAATCCTAGACCCTAAGCCCTAGCCGCAAATCATGAAGTTTAAATTCCTCCTACACTGTAAACACCAAGCAGTATCCTACCTAAGCCCTAAACCCCAAACCCTAAGTCCTATCCTCCTTAAACTCGGAGTTCTCCTTCTACCGACCGCTAGGTTCCCCCTTACTTCCCCCTTAGCTAAACTTGAATCCGTCCTAGGGTTTCGGGGTTATGGGTCCCTAAACAACTCCCTCCTCAAACGCAGGTTCTGCTGCTCGAGCAGCCGCAGCTGCCGGCGCGGCCGCGGCCAATGCCGCAGTGAGCGCTGCTGGAAAATCTGTGGCACGGGGCCCATCACTTCTTTAATGTCCCTGAGTGCAAGTTACAGGGACCCGTTGAGGGGTATTTAAAGGTGCATATGCATATAGGGTTGGTTATATAGGATTTAAAGTTGAGGGTCTAAGGTTTGAAGGCCCAGAGGATTTGGTGAATAGGTTGTGAGTGGGGTTATAGGTACCCTAAGTAGGGTTTGAAATTTGATCACTTCCTTCACGTTGGTACCGTTTGGAGAGTTTGGGGGCTTAGGGTTAAAGGCGTCAAGTTTACCCGAAGGGTCCACTGTAGATGAATACCAGATACTCCCCAAAGCCTAAATAGCGATTGCCTTCCTTCATGTTTGTCATGTTCCCAGATCCATGGGCGGATCTAGAAAGTAGAACGCACAACACGGTAGCCTATGCTGTGATTGCGTAATCTCTTGGAACCCTTCAGAAAATCTACTTTTCGAATCCTCCAAAGAGTTTGAAGTTAAACCCTTCACGTGAGTCTCGTCAGGTGACCAGGTTAAGGCTTACTCTGAGGGTCCAACGTATGCGATATGGTTATCATTTACTCCCCAAAGCCTAAATAACGATATCTAGCATGAGGATCCCCAAGCACATGAATAAGGTTTAGGGTTTAGGAGTTAAGTGGTTGCAGGCCAAATCTTGATATGCAGGATCCCATATATCGTCCTAAGGTGCTCGATTTCCTGCACCCCACAGCGGCAATGCTAGGTAGGCTAGCCCCGACGGGTCCAAGTACCTTTCTGAGCTTCCAGCCTGATTTGTATTAGGGGGTATGTGAAGCGGACTTCCATGTCTGCAAATCATCATGACGTACAGACTCGACCGCACAATACATGGGATTTGGGTTTACTTGCTGGTGCTTACGGGGGAGTGGGGATGTGAATCCTGGGATTAGTCTCAGGGTATTTCTGCTGATTATTTTGGGATTATTGTCAGACTCCACTCCCCCACGTTCCCTTGTGGATCCTTATAACGCCTATTCATGCCTCATACAAACCACTGCAATCATGCCTACATTCATTCCCCCTCACACCCTTAAACACCAGTAAGAAGAGGCAGGTACAGCAACTACTTGGCCGCAAGTCTCTAAGCTACATCAATCATCTGCCTTGGGCGACCCCAGCGCAAAACCCCCAACGCAACAACCCTAAACCCTAAATCCTCAATCCTAGACCCTAAACCCTAAATCCTCAATCCTGAGCCCTGAACCCTAAACCCTAAATCCTCAATCCTAAACCCTAAACAACCCTAAATTCCGCTCCCGCATCTTGCAGACCAGCCGAAGTTCTGGAATTTTAGGGTTTAGGGTTTGTAACCTAGTTATATCCTACAGCCCCTTATAGATCGCGGGTTTAGGGTTTAGGGTTTAGGGTTTAGCGCTAGCGTTTCACGATGTGCCTACCTAGTTCCTCAAAATCCCCAGGTTAAGCTGAACTTCACTTGGTCCTGGGCTTCATAGCTTGATGGGCGGAGGGCCGATCCGCTATGGGGTAGTATGTACTCGTATGGGTATAACCCCTCAATTATCCCCATTATTGACCGACTTACGACCTGACCCTCCAAGTACGCACTGAATCCATTCCTTCATCGGTACTGGCCAGGTGAAAGTCCACTCTCCATCTAATTTTCCATCTGAATCTAGATGATTATTGTTAGATCGTAAACCGCAGAACTATTCTCTAAACCCCAAGTGAAAACCCTGTGATGTTGGAAGCTATTCCCTAAACCCCAAATCGACACCCTCGAATGTTGGAAATTATTCCCCAAACCCCAAATCCAAACCCTATCATGCTGGAAATTGTTCCCAAAACCCCAAACCTGAACCCTGTAATGTGGGAAGCTATTCCCAAAACACCAAATCTAAACCCTATAATGTTGGTCCCAAAACCCAAAACTTAAACCCCAATAATGTTGGAAGCTATTCCCCAAAACACCAAATCTAAATCCTATAATGTTGGTCCTCAAACCCCAAATCGAAACCCTATAATGTTGGGAGCTATTCCCCAAACCCCAAATCGAAACCCTACAATGTTGGAAATTCTTCCCCAAACCCCAAATCGAAACCCTATAATGCTAGAAATTATTCCCTAAACCCTAGATTAAGGCTGCTAAATCCGAGGTTTGGACGGAACTGGAGAACCTAGACGTATTCGACTCGGGTGAGGTGGGGCTGAGTGCACGCGGTGTGCCGATGATATGAGCCATAATCTAAACTCCCTAAGATGATTACATAGGGACTATATTATAAGGGGCCAGGGATACTAGGAGTTTTACACAATGAGGTAGGGTTCTATTATCGAATTTGGGCTGGATACTGCCCCCCCCACGCATTAACAGTCTGAGAATGTGTACAGTACAAGTAAATACAGATATATAAGCCCCTTATAGTAGTTTCCATTTTATTTTCAATTATCCCAATATAACCCCAATATACTATAGTAGTTTCCATTTTCTTTTCCCTTCTCCCAAGTCCCCCTTCATCTAGCCCTATTAAACACGGTTAGTTGGTGGGGGCAGGACTGAGGAATGCTGGTGAGAGTTTATATTTTGTGCGAGTTTTGGGTGGCCATAAAGTGAAACCGTGGCATGTATGGGCCCATGAACCTCAAGACGACACCCTTTAAGGGCCCTGGCGTTCCGGGCTCATTCTTAGGGCCCATACAAAAGACCTTAGATTTGAGCAAAAAATCTTTTTGCATACCACAAACCCCTTCAGCCCCAATCCCTCAACCTTAAACCCTAAAAACTCTCAGCCCTAATCCCTAAACCTTAAACCCTAAACCCTGAACCTGCACCATGACTCAGCTCAACAGAGTATGCCCCCAATCCTCCACACGGAGCGGAACTTCTGAAGGGTTTAGGGTTTAGTGCCAGCTGTCCGCAAGACACCACTGTCCCTTCTGAAGGGAACCGCCCAAGAAAGGACCTTGAGTTTTGGTATGGATAACACGGTTTAGGGTTTGGGGTTTCGGGAAATAGCTAACTAGGCTGCAGCAGCACCCCAAACATGATAAGTTGATAGGGATGGATCAGCTTAAGGTTTTAGAGTTTAGGGTTTAGGGCTCAACCCCTAAACCCTGAACCACTAAACCCCGCACCCTTGAATCCTAAATCCCAAGCCCCAAACCCTATACAGTCCGTTACAAACAACATAAACCCTAAAATCTAAACCCTGAGTCCCCAAACCCTAAACCCCACGAAGCTGTGGCCACTGATGCTGGGCAGCCGCCAGGCAGCCACTACGTGGTGGCAGCGCGCAGAGGTAGGGCTCTACAAAGGTTGAGGGATTTACAGGGGCTTATACGGGGCAATATAGGGTTGTATAGGGTTATATTGGGTTTAAGGTTTACGGTTTGAGGGTTTAGGTTGATGTTTTGGAATTTAGGATTTAGGGTTTAAGGATTTAGGGTTTAAGGGTTTAGGGTTCAGGGGTTTAGGGTTGAGAGGGTTGAGGTTTGAGGATTTAAGGCTAGGTTCAGGGGGGTTGGGGATTTAGGATTTAGGCTTTTGGGTCTCAGGGTTTAGGGATTCAGGGTTTAAGGGTTTAGGGTTGAGGGGGTTGAGGTTCCAGGATTTTGGGTTGAGGGCTTCGGGTTGTGGATCTAGGATTTAGGTGTCCCCCTTATAGATATGGAATTGCCACCCTAAACCCTAA